GGAGGAACAAGGGATGTAGAAAAAGTTTTCTTCACTTTTAGTACTGCAACCAATGATTAACTTTGCACTTTCGCTTGACCAACACTTTCTGCCTCTTTGGTCGAATTCTCAATGTTTTCTTAATTCTTAAGGTTTGTTATAAAGATATTTAGAGATTAGTTGCTTGACATTTTTAAACTTGTCCTCCGGCCGTCGGCACAGTTTAGGGCCAACTAGTGGAGAGGGGGGAGGATAGTGAGGCTTGCGATATACCGACGATAGAGAGGGGAGAAGAAATCGCTCAAATCCCCCACCCCCGCTCCCTCCCTTGCCCTGAAACCGTCCTGGATCCACCAATGCTGCTAGTGGACATTCAAATAATTGTTGTGCTGGGGAAGTGTTCCTCCTCAGCTTTCGAGAAGTTTTTTTTTTTTTTAATAACCTGTCTGTCGTTTTAGATTGCTGTGAAGAAGAATGGCGTCTACAGGCACAAGCTTTCGCCGTGGGCCCGTTATGTTACACGGCCAAAAGAAACCACACTTTACCATATGGTAAGTGAGCCAATTGTTTGCCCCGTGCTACATTCGACGAAAAAAAGCCCTTGCAAAGAAAAGAAGATGATGGAAAATGTACTGAGAGAGAGGCGGAGAGTGGGGATGAAGGGGAGGGGGGAGGGGGGGAAGAAAGATCGTAAAATTTAATATTGTGAATATTTAAGTTTTTGATCTTGCTCATCTCTTTGTAAAGCTCCCCATTACGGTGAAAAATATCAATTCTGATGAGCTGGAATTTTCATTCTTTTAACAAATTTTTGCCTCAATTGACTATGATGCAAAGGAATGCGAAATTCTTCCTCTCCCCGCGCCCAGCCTCTCCCCATCCATCGGATGCTTTCATCTCAAACTATTTTAGGTCCATCGAATCGGGGGAAATATTTTAACGAAAAATAAGAAATAAAAAAACAGGCACATATACGTGACATTTCACTTCTCACGAATGGAGCTTTTTCCTTTTGCAAATGAGGGGAGGAATTGAACCTGTCGATTCCAGTGTCTTCGTATACTTCAGTTTGTGACGTGTTATCCATTACACTACCGGCCCTGGTCCTCCATAGGGAATTGGAGTTTTTTATGTGAATATTTGTCCTTCACATGCATACCACTCTGTACTGTCTAACATTGTTATCATATATAGCATATATCTTATCGATTTTTGTCAATTTTTACCGGCTTTTCGTGAGACTTCCGTAGCATCACCAGACCGATGTGCACTGATCTGGCTCTTTTTTTTCTTTGCGAAACGAGCAGTATTCTTTTCCTGCAGCTAAACAAGCTTCTTTTTTCTCTTCTTCCGCATGTTTCACTGTTTTTTTTGCAGCCGTTCTACAATCCTCCAGAATCAGAACGATATCACTTGAAGTGCCCTAAACCAGCAAAGCCAGATTCGATGCGAATTTATGAGGCACATGTTGGTATTTCCAGTTGGGAGGGCAAAGTAAATAGCTACAGAAATTTCGCCGATGATGTTATTCCACGTATAAAACATCAAGGTTTATCATTTCTTTTTTTTTCTTTCAATCATTTTCCGTGATAAACTTTTCATGACTGGGTTACGATCGGATATAT